CTACAACAGGCTTAAACGCTGACCTTATTGCAGGTCTATGCGTCCAATTTCGAGGGAGAATATCATTCCTTTCTTTAAGAAGGGAGTGTTCTCTGTACGAAGTGCTGAATACGGAGTCCCTCATACTCATGGGAGTTTTAATGCGCATGTCGCAGTAGACGCTGAAGAAGTGAACGGCGGGACTTGGAAACACCGCCCTAGCGACATCAACAATAACGGCATTATGTCTTTGCGGTTTTGTGCAAACAACGGATTGTTCATTGTGAACACCCTGTTCGAGCATCAACGTGTGCATCAGAATACCTGGTACATTGAACATTCTGCACATTTCAATTTGACAATCGTATTGTCTGACTTGCCACGACCTATCATGGATGTCCGGGTTAAAAGAGGCGCAGAGCTTTCAACTAATCACTCTTTGTTGACAAGCTACCCTGTGAGAGATAGAGGACCATGCGTAAATCTAGTGGTAGAAGCAACCATGCAATCAAATGGCAAACATTTGCGAAGTTGACAAACAACGTCGCACGACAGTTTGAACAAATCCCAGTAATGACCACTGATGTGAAAACTGAGCGGCAGCTCTCTAAGGGCGACATACTCGAGGCTGCCGCCCAATGCTGCGGATTTAAACGGATTGCCTTGCTGCCGGGAGGTCAGAAAGCATCTTCCTTGTGGACACGAGAGGTACAACTGGCACTTAAAGAGAAGAATACTGCATTCAGGAAATGACTTGAACACAGAGCCTTCTATTCGCGTGCGATATGTCAAGGCACACAAGGCGGCAGTGAAAGCAGCAGCGAAAGCCAAAGCTGATTCATGGGAGAAGTTCAATGAGGTGTTGGAGTCGAATTTCCACGCAGCAAGCAAGGTGTTCCAGCTGGCCATTCGCCAGTTCTGAGATGATTAGGAAGGCAGTTTAAGAGTCCTGAAAAACATGTCTGGACGCTCTTACCAAAGATCAGGGCATTCTTCGGCGATGTAGGGAGTACTTTGAGGAACTCCTTAGCCCTGAACAACGCAGGAAGCCTCGCCTAAAAGGCAGGAGGGAATGGATATTAGTTTTTCTGTAGATGAAATTACAGACGCTGTGAAAAGCTTATAAAATGGAGAGGCGGCTGGAATTAGGTCAAAGGTCCCTGAAACGGTCAAAGCATTAGATGAATAAGGCTTGTGCTGGCTTACACTTGTCTGTCAAACTACAATGGCTGTGAGGAAGACACCAGCGGACTGGCTAACGGGTTGTTGTACCCCTGTTGAAGAACAAAGCACAAGGAGTACTCCAATTATCTGGGCATTACCTGATTGAGCCGTCCAGGTAAAGTCTACGCATAGGTGCTAGAAAGGGGGTACCGCAGAATAACTGACTCCCAGATACAAAAGGAGCAATGTGGCTTCCGGTCCCGTCGAAGCACGTTTAACCAGGTGTATTTGCCCTGCGCCACATTGTTGAGAAATCATGGAATTTGCCCTTCCGGTGTACATGTGCTATATTGACCTAGAAATAGCGTATGACTCGTGGGACGCGTCGCGAGGGTAGGGGCCTCAAACGCAATGCGCTGTGTGAACTGCCCTTTATTAATTGCCAATCCTTTTGAGCAAGGAATTTACGCACCCCCTCCCGTGCTTCAATGCAACGAGCCGTAAAGCGGGTAACTAGTCGTTGACGAATAACAGTGATAGCATTGTGTAGTAATGTTGTTAAGAGAGGCGTGCGAAACATACGGTCATTCTGTTTGATGCGTGCGCTTTACTAATGCCATTCGCCTTGACTCGTCTGATAGTTGACTAAAAATCAACACAATACGTAAATTCAAATTTAATGACAAAACTAAAACTATTTATATGCACAGAGATTTTGATCTTGAGCCAGTTGATAGTGAAAGACATTCGAAGAGCAAAGCATTCAGTGGATGAACAGCTGTCGTATAGAATCTTTTCGATCAGTTGTAGTGTTTTTCCAGCCACTCAATTAACTAGCTGTTTTGTCACCGTTTATTGGCTCATTCAACTGAAGCAGGACGCAATGCTCGAAGCATTGTTTTCAATCACCACCTTCCTGCCTTGAAAGATGACTGAACCTGCTTAAGTGACCATAAGCAAGATGCATGTGTCGACAAATCTCTGCATAACTCTGACAGGTACAGCAGACACCCATGCTGAGAACTGTCTTTAGCTGACCGTTTTAAGTTTGAGGAAAACACGATGTTTACCTACTTGACCTCTTTTACTGACTGCAGCATTTATTATTAACACTTGTTTTTTTTTACCTTGCTTCTGTTGAAGAAGGGTATTCTTCGTTAGAAATCAGCAAGCGGCTGACTCAGAATGGTTCAAGATCAGATGTCAAACATTCTGTTATCCTGCATCGCTCCGTTTTGTATTTTGATGGTCAGGTTGTGGCAAGATGGAGCCACTACCTTTAGGAATTCGTATTGCCCGAGCAACGCAGGGAGGCTCGCCAGAACAGCAACCATCAACGGATACTAGTTTTTCAGTAGATGACGTCACAGACGCAGCAGAGAGCCTGAAAAGTGTCAAGGCCCTGGGATTGATGAAATTGACCTTGAGGTTCTTCAAGATTTACGCGAACAAGGCATGTGAAGAAGACGAGTCAGTCTAACTGCAATGACTTTCAGGAAAGGAGGCCGTAGGTACTGCTCCAATTAGCGAGGCATTTTCTTCAGCCTCATGGGAAAAGTCCACGCAGTGAGACTGCTGAGAAATAGTTGACTCTAAGGTGCAGCAGTAGCACTGCTGACCCGACCTTTGCCTTATGCCAGATTATTAATAAACTGAGTGGATTCGCTCATCCCTGAGCATGTGGTTTGTGGAACTGGAGAAACCTTATGACCGGATTCTGTGCAACGAGTTATTGGCGTGTCTGCAAATAGTGAGACAGATGACCAATTGTTATGATATATGTTTTGGACAAGTGATTTGACCACTTTTTGAATGATGATGTCAATCTGTTTCGGTCTAGATTGAAACCAAAGCTACTATCTGCATATATCCACAAGATGCATCACTATTTCTGCATCAAGCTAGCGAATTAGATCAGCAGCAGATGTTGTATTAGAGTCCGTACGTATATTTTCGTTAAAGGCCGCAAAACCTTTGATGGTACCTGAACTTGTCTCAACCGCCAGAGGAACGGGGCATCTGTGCGCACTTTCTAATCTACCCTTGCAACTTGCTTTCAGACTATGCTTCTGCATGCTGTCATCCTGGGATAACTCTAGGATACCTCAATTCCAAGTTCTAGCGAAGCATCTCGTCACTCGCAACAATTGGATTTTAGCCTATGCTTAACACAGCTATGCTTTTAAGGCGGGTGTGACCAAGCACCGCATCCTTTGATTTCGATGAATTTAGCTTAAGTTCTGTTTTGCTGGCCAACTGATTCTACATGTTGTTGCTCAACCGTGTGAGGTTTTCATAGTTCTGGACGGGCACGAATGCATATGTGCCATCAGTGCGCTTTATATAGGTAGCCCTCACTTGGCTTCTGCAGTTTCTGGTATTGAAGATAAAGAAGATTCGACATCACAGAATCTTGTGGCAATCCAATTTAATCTGGTTTCCAGCCCTACCTGAATCTCCCTGTTCGAACTCACTATGTAATGTCGCTGAAGCACGTCGTTGGTATCATAAGCCATCCGGCATAACAAAACTCCGGCGTCTGCCAAACTGTTCAATTATCCTGTTTGAAACGGTCAGACTAATTTTTAAATAACTGTTTCTTTATTAACAAGGCTTTGCTTTGCGTGATGTTAAAAACTGCTTGAAAGCTGTTACGGAAGTATGTGATCTCCATTTCCCAGAATCCAGTCCCGTTTGTTCGACTGTTTCAGGGTTCATGAAAAACCGCCAACGTCATCGTAGGGATTCAGGAGTGTACATTATACCGTGTTTCATTTTTTCATGCGATCCTGTATTTCGATTGTTGCTGGAAGTCTGCATGGTTTGGCTCTCCGGACGAGCGTTCCTATCATTGTCGCTTCTTAATATTGTTGAAATTTAATTTATGTGCTATTTTCGTTAATTTTGGTAATAAACTTTTTCTTGCACATTACAAATAATGATACCGGACTGAAACGGCGAAAATGCACAGTGTAAATGAAAAAAATATATTTCTCACTTTGCACCAGCAGCTCTATTGCACCGCCCTCTTGCTTCTAGAAGCCAAAGGGGACCATTTAAGCAGGCCACGGCTCCATGGCATTTAAGCTTGAAGTGCATAGGACCCAGGTCCGTGTCTTAAACATGGATTGGACAAAAGTACGTTCAACCAACATGGTCACGATCCGTATGTGAAAAGTGAGAAAAGTTACGATGCTCTGGAGGAATTTTTGATGCAGCTGCTGAATATATCACATTAAAAATAATGGTACCGAATTGAAACGGCAAAAACACTTACTCGATTGATTGATTGATTGATTGATTGACTTCTGTATGACTCTAACCAACATCACGAACTTTTATGATCATAAAATGTAGCAAAGCGTTTTCTGATTTATGCACTGATGGGCGGAATCTATTAAACTTTAATGTCAGCAAAAAATTAACGGTCGAAAGAAGCAAGGCAGAAAAATGGCTATTGAAAAACTATTTAGATGCTGAGCCTGGCCCGACAAAGGTTCATCGCCAGACAGAGTGTAGTTGTTGTGACATTAAACAGGTGATTTATCGTCAAAAGATGCAAGATTGTTACAGATCTTGAGCATAATTTAGCAGTGGTTCCTCACTAGGCATCCGTGACTAAACTATTCAGACAGTAAATGAAAGAAGCATCTATATGCTCAATAAATAAAATCTCGATTTTGCGTCCAGTTAATAATGAAACTATTTCTCGATCCATGATGTGACGCAAATAAATAACTTTCAGTTGCATCAATCAAACATATTCATATGCTGATACAAGGAAGAAACTTGCAAATAGCATCACGCGACGGTTTGAACAGATACTAGTGATGACAACTGATTCTAGTGGAAACCAAACGGAATCTTTCTAAGAACGCCTTACACCGGTTTGCCACCGAATGCTGCGAATTCAAACAGGATGGCTTGCTGCCTGGAAGTCAGAGAGGAGCATCCTGGTGAACACGAGAGGTAAAACTGGCAGTTAAAGAAAAGCAAGTTGCATTCAAGAAATGGCTTAAAAGAAAAGAATTTCCAACTCGCATATGGTATGTAGAAACGTAAAAAGCGGTAGTGAATGCTAAAGCTGATTCCAGGGGGAACTTCGGTGAGGTGTTGGGGTCGATTCTCCAAATGGCAAACAAAGTATTCTGGCAGACCATCCGCCGACTCCGGGGTGATAAAAACGGCAGTCTAAGAGTCTTGACGGACAAGTCTGGATACCCTCTTATCGAGGAAAAGGACTCCTTCGGCGATGGAGAGAGTACTTTGAGAAGCTCTTTAACCCTGAGCAATCGCAGGAAGACTCGCCTGAAGAGAAGTCGGAAACTAATATTTGTCTTTCAAAAGCTGTAAACAGGTTTAAAAGTGGCAACGCTGCTGCGATCGATGATATTTGTCCTGAGACGCTTAAAACTTTAGACGAATAAGGTGTGCCGTGGTCAACTCTGCAATGATTGCGAGGAAGGCACCGGTGGATCGCAAAGCTGGAATGGCAGTACCCTGATTCATCAAAGGAGACCTTAGACTCTACTTCAATTAACAGGGCATTATTGTATTAAGCCTCCCAGGAAAAGTCTACACAAGTGTTTTGGGAAAAATGCCGTGGAACAGTTAATTGTAAGACCAAACAAAAGCTTGTGGCTTCAGGTAAGGCTGAAACACACATGACCAGCTTTTCGCCTAACTACAGATTTTCAAGAAATTGTGAGAGTTCGCTCATCCAGTGTATACGTGCTTTGTGGATCTGATGAAAGCCTGTGACCGGATACGTCGCAACAAGCTATGAGCGTGACTGGTGACTGCAAACATATGAGATCAATGCCCAGTTGCGTTGGCGTTGCTCTCCGCCAAGGCTGTTTCTCACTCCTCTCCTATTTGCATATAAAATGGATAGAATATTCAGGCGCAGCCAGAACGACGAATGCATCAGCGCAGAAGATGTAGAGAGTACCTTGTTCTGTTGGCAATTTGCGAAACTAACCTCTAGCACTTTGTGGAAAGTTTCGCAGCCGAGCGCGACGTGGTCTGCATGACTGTGAATGATAGTGTGACGATGTCTTGGCAACGTTGGGTGATACGGCCAGTTTGACAGTAGCGTGGGATACCTCCCCTTTCCTGAATCATTTTTGCAATTTTTCAAATGGGTGATGCATTTCTAGCAAGTACACAATATCGGTGTTCCAATCGATCTTAACGTGGGATTTATTAAACCCACCTCCAATCATTCAGTAATTACGTGGCGTAGTGTTAATTAATCTAGGGTGAGTTAGGCGTACGACACTTTCTAACCGTAGGTGACGATACGGCAGCAGCGGTCATGTGCCAGTCAAACGTTCTGAAGACTGCGCAACCGGCAATGCAGCCTCAAAACAGCTGTTTTGACAGCGCCCTGCTAATGATCGACTGGATGTGACGCACGTTGATTCCTCCGTGTTGCACTGCAACTGTTCAGCTGGTTAGTGCGTACATGTGATATTGCTCTTTCGGCAGTGTGGGAGTGTTACGCGATGATGAACGTGATACTGTTCGTCGTTCTGCTGCACTTTCGTGTTTCAGTCAACTTTGCGGTGGAAGCTCATCATTACTGCGGCTATGAGGTAAGACGATGTTTTCTGAATGTGTGAGAGAAAGCACGTTTCCGGGAGTTTAGAAACATTAAAGCAAAAGTAAAGTCAGAGAAGTAAGCGAAAGAGCATATTAGACATAATATGTTACTCTCATTTTTTATCAAAGCCGCACATCGCCTTCTAAGTGGCTGTTAGTGAGGTTTTAAGTTTCAAGTAACATAGGATTTAGGTCATCTCTGATCAGGTCGTATGCAAAAAGATCAAAAATAACTGAAACTCTTTGAAGTGAACAACACACCATAATAGCATGATCGATT